CTGAGTCCTCTCTTCCTGCTCTTCCTGACCCGGAGTCCGACTCCCTTCGTGCTGCCAGTCCTACTGTCACGCGTCTCCTTGCTACTGTTGTCACTGACCCTTCTTTCGAGTCTACTGCTGCGTCTGCTCTCGTTACTGAGCTCGTCGACTTTGCTGCTCGCTGTCGCTTAGACTACGCTGCTAGTCTTGTCGCTGAGTCTGAGTCTGTCTGTCCTCCGTCCGTCGGGGGTGAGTGTGCCCTTGGCACGGACGTCCTTGAGGACAGGCAGGAGGAGTTCCAGTGTCTGGCAGCTACCTCACCTCATCTCGTGTCCGTACTGCTTACCCCAGAGGGAGACCCGGATGCACTTGACATCCCGACTCCGCGCTCTTACGCGGAGGCGATAGAGAGTCCCTACTCCTCTCAGTGGCAGGCAGCTATGGATGCAGAGATGGCTTCCTGGAAGTCCACAAGCACCTACGTTGACGCTGTCCCCCCTCCTGGGGCGAACATCGTCAGTGGCATGTGGATCTTCAGGGTGAAGCGGCCGCCGGGTTCTCCGCCTGTCTTCAAGGCGCGTTACGTGGCTCGTGGCTTCAGTCAGCGGCAGGGAGTTGACTACTTTCAGACCTTCTCCCCCACCCCGAAGATGACCACTCTTCGGGTACTGCTGCACGTTGCTGCTCACCGTGACTACGAGCTGCACTCTCTTGACTTCAGCACAGCTTTCTTGCAGGGCAGCCTGCACGAGGAGATCTGGCTGCGTCGCCCACCTGGCTTCACTGGGTCTTTCCCTCCTGGTACCCAGTGGAGTCTCCGGCGTCCAGTCTACGGTCTCCGCCAGGCGCCACGTGAGTGGCACGACACACTGAGGACTACGCTTGCGGCTCTTGGGTTTGCTCCTTCTACTGCCGACCCGTCGCTGTTTCTACGCACCGACACCTCTCTGCCGCCGTTCTACATCCTCGTGTACGTCGACGACTTGGTCTTTGCCACAGCTGACACTGCTGGACTCGCCTACGTGAAGTCCGAGCTGCAGAAGAGACACACGTGCACAGACCTGGGTGAACTGCGCAGCTACCTTGGCTTGCAGATCACCCGGGACAGAGCACGCCGCACCATTACCCTGACTCAGTCACACATGGTGCAGCAGGTCCTTCAGCGCTTCGGCTTCACGTACTCCTCGCCTCAGGCCACTCCTCTGTCTACTCGCCACTCGCTCTCAGCTCTGCCTTCGGATGAGTCCGTAGAGTCGAGTGGCCCGTACCCAGAGCTTGTTGGCTGCCTCATGTACCTGATGACCTGCACACGACCTGACCTTGCATACCCTCTTAGCATTCTTGCACGCTATGTTGCTCCTGGGAGACACAGACCAGAGCACATGGCTGCAGCGAAGAGGGTGTTGCGCTACTTGTGCAGTACGTCGGGCATGGGGCTAGTGCTTGGAGGGCGGAGTCCAGTGGTCCTCACTGGGCACGCGGACGCTTCTTGGGCTGACAACCAGGCTACGCAGCGGTCGTCACAGGGTTACACCTTCAGCCTTGGTTCCGGCTCTGTTTCGTGGCGGGCTACTCGCTCGTCTTCTGTTCTTGGCTCGAGTTGTGAGGCTGAGATCTACGCCGGGGCCATGGCTGCACAGGAGCTTCGCTGGCTCACCTACCTGCTGACCGACCTTGGAGAGCCGCCTCGTTCTCCTCCAGTCCTGTACGTAGACAACAAGGCCATGCTGGCCTTGTGTCGAGAGCAGCGACTGGAGCACAGAACAAAGCACATTGCTCTCCGCTACTTCCTTGCTCATGAGCTACAGCAACGTGGACAGTTGCGGCTTGCGTACGTGGCCTCTGAGGCCAACACTGCTGATGTCTTCACCAAGGCACTTCCGCCTTGTGATCATCAGTGCTTCTGCACTCAGCTGGGTCTTGTGCCCGTCTTGCCTCACTTGCTCTCCTCTTGACCTTGCTTGTACTCTCACATATATATATACCTGCTCTTGCTTGTCTAGCTTTATATATATGTGTGTACTCTTGCATGTGAACTGGCCGTGTGGCCTTGACCCTGTGCTCGGACTGTGTGGTGACTTTGTGATCCACCCTGAGCTTGCTTTACTTTGCTTTGCTTGACTGGTCTTGTGACCCCTTGTTCTCCCCCACTTTGCCTATGGGGGTGTGTCAGACAATTGTAGCTTATGCTGTTGTGTAGGCTATAGTGGGGTATCCCATAGGGGGTACAACCAATTAGGGTTTCATATTTGTACTCACTTCATTTCATAGTTCATTCATTCTTGTTCAAATCTTCTCAGAGTCCCGCCCGCAGCAGCAGGTGGAGTTACAGACACAGCAGGAGAGGGTATAGGAGTCACGACCGAAACAGGAGAGGGCAGCGCAGGAGTCCCGGTCGCAGCAGTGGGTGCAGCTGCAGCCGCAGCAGGAGAGGGCAGAGGAGGAGCCGCAGGAGCAGCAGCAGGGGCAGGTACCGTCGCAGCAGACGCTAGAGAAGGCGGAGCAGCAGCGACTTCGACTGCGCGACCTGCCTGACCTAGCACATGCACGCTTGGTTCGTGGTCCCATATTGTCCCCTCGTGTTCCCCCCGTCCAGTCCCTTTCCTCGTCCCAATGGACTCGTCGTTCTCCCCTCAGTCGTGCTGTGTCTCCGGAGCCCCGTCGGTCTTGTTACCGTGCAGACGGTCCATTTCACCTTGTTATCTGCTCTCGTGTTCCATCTCCTCCAGTCCTTCTACAGCCTCCTGAGTCGTCCTTCACTCTGCTTCACGACCAGTTGTCCGACTACCTCCGTGCCTCCCGTCCCGTCGTCTCCCGTGTTCTGTCCGCGTTGGTCACTCGCCCGACTGCACCCTTGTTGTCTGTTTTGGCTCTTGTTACCATTGTCGCTGGCGTTGCCTTTTCCCACCGTCTTGACTACGCCGCTCACCTGGTGAGTGGCCCTGCTCGTTCTCCGTCCTCTGGGGGTGCTCCTGTCTTTTTCCTAGAGGTCCTGGAGGATAGGCAGTTCGAGCTTGGTTTCCTTGCGGCCGCTGTTCCTCATCTCTGCGCCATGCTGCTTGCCCCTGAGGGAAATCCAGACGCCCTTGACATCCCGATCCCTCGCAATCACGCTGAGGCGGTCTCAGGACCCTGGGCTTCGTACTGGATAGAAGCTGAGGAGGCAGAGATGGCATCTAATAGGTCCACACGCACCTACGTCGACGCCGTCCCACCACCTGGGACGAACGTTGTCAGTGGCATGTGGCTCTACAAGGTGAAGCGGCCGCCTGGAGCACCACCGGTGTTCAAGGCGCGCCACGTGGCGAGAGGCTTCAGTCAGCGAGAGGGGGTAGACTTCTTCCAAACCTTCGCTCCCACCCCGAAGATGACCACCCTTTGGGTGTTGCTGCATATTGCAGCAAAGCGTGACTACGAGTTGCACTCCTTGGACTTCTCTACCGCATTTCTTCAGGGGAACCTGCACGAGAAGATCTGGCTGCGTCGTCCGCCTGGCTTCACTTGCACTTTCCCTCCTAAGACCCAGTGGCAGCTGCGTCGACCGGTCTACGGCCTGTGCCAGGCTCCCCGCGAGTGGCACGACACGCTACGTACGACTCTTGCAGCACTTGACTTCTTTCCGTCGTCTGCCGACCCGTCGCTGTTCGTCCGCCGTGGCTCGACCCCGTTCTTTGTTCTGGTCTACGTTGACAACCTGTTCTTCGCCACTCCCGACCGACGCACACTGGCCTCCGTGAAGGAGGAACTGCAGAGGAGAGACACTTGCACTGACCTTGCTGAGCTCCAGCGCTACCTCGGCCTGCAGATCACCAGGGACAGGGCAGCTCGCACCATTACGCTCACGCAGTCCCATATGGTCGAGCAGATCCTCACGCGGATTTGCTTCCTGTTCTCCAAGGTACAGCCCACCCCTCTTGCTGTGGATCATGGGCTCACCGCTCCACCTTCGGACGAGCCATTTGAGTCCATTGGTCCATATCCTAAGCTGTTGGGTTGTCTCATGTACCTGATGACCTGCACTCGCCCAGACCTAGCTTAGCCTCTTAGCGTCCTTGCGCACTTTGTTGCGCCTGTGAGACACCGACCTTCCCACTGGTACGTTGCCAAGAGGGTGGTGAAGTATGTGGCGAGTACATCAGGCATGGGACTTGTCCTTGGAGGAAGCAGCCAGTTACACTTACAGGTTTCTCAGACTCGTCATGGGCCGACGACGCTGAGTCGTTGCGGTCTACACAAGGTTACTGCTTCAGCCTTGGGACCGGAGCTGTTTCGTGGAGGTCGACTCGGGCGTCGGCCGTCTCTAGTTCCAGTTGTGAGGCAGAGGTGTACGCTGCGGCCATGGCCGCCCAGCAGCTTCGCTGGCTGTCTTTCCTCCTCACCGACCTTGGTAAGCGGCCTCGCTCTCTCCCAGTCTTGTTCGCCGACAACAGGTCTGCTATCCTGTTGTGCGAGGAGCCCCGACTGGTTGGGAAGGTGAAGCACATCCAGCTTTGTTACTTCCTTCTGCGAGAGTTGCAGCAGCGTGGCCAGGCACTCCTGCGACGTGTGGTCTCTCTGAGGCCAACACTGCAGACATCTTCACCAAGGCGTTGCCGCCTTGTGACCACCAACGTTCCTGCACCCAGCTTGGCCTTGTGTCTACAGGCCCTCACTTGCTTGCATAGAGATGCATTGTCTTGTACTCTTGCACCTCACTATATATTCTATATCTCTGCTTGTGGACAGGCCCTGTGGCCCCTTGCTTCTGTAGAGATGCTTGTCATGCATGTCTTGTACCCTTGCATCTCTTATATCCGCTATATACCTGCATGTGGACTGGCCTTGTGGCCCCTTGCTTGTTCTCGGACTTTGTGGTGATCTTGAGATCCATCCCGAGAGTTGTTTTGTTCTTGTGAACTGGTCTTGTGACCGTTGCTTGTTCTTGCTGACTGGTTCACTTGGGTTGTGTATTGCTCTCCACACAACTACCATCACCTAGACTATGGCAGTGTGTCAAACTATTATAGTTTGGATTGTTTAGTCTAGGTGGTGTACACCTTGGTTAGTGCTAGGGTTGGGTTTGGGCGGCGCGCGGGCGGCAGGGGTGCAAGGGCGGCAGCAGCAGCGGTGCGGCGCACAGGCGGCAGCAGCGCACGGGCAGCAGCGGCGCACGGCAGAGGGGCGCGCGGGGCAGCGGCGCGCGGGGCAGCAGGGCGCGGGGCAGCGACGCACGGAGCAGCAGCGCGTGGGGCAGCGGCGCACGGGGCAGCGGGGCGCGGGGCAGCAGCGCGGAGGGCAGCGGGCGCGGGGCAGCAGCTCGCAGGGCAGCGGTGCGCGGGGCAGCGGGGCGCGCAGGGCAGCAGCGCGCGGGGCAGCAGTGCGCGGGGCAGCGACGCACGGAGCAGCAGCGCGTGGGGCAGCGGCGCACGGGGCAGCGGGGCGCGGGGCAGCAGCGCGCAGGGCAGCGGGGCGCGGGGCAGCAGCTCGCGGGGCAGCGGGGCGCGCGGGGCAGCAGCGCACGGGGCAGCGGGGCAGCAGCGCGAGGAGCAACAGCGCGCGGGGCAGTGGGGCGCGCGGGGCAGTGGGGCGCGCGGGGCAGCAGCTCGCGGGGTAGCGGCGAGCGGGGCAGCAGCGCGCAGTGCAGCAAGTGCGGGGCAGCGAAGCTCACGCGGGGCAGGGCAGAGCCCGCAGGGCAGGGCAGCGTGGTGGCGTGGGGCAGTACAGCGACAGTAGCTGTGATGGGCAGTAGACACTGACCTAACCTACTCGATACCATTTTAAAGTGTGAAGCAGCGGAATGAATTGACTAGGATGAGTTCGGACACAAATATGCAACCATAACAGGGTTGCTCTCTCTAGTGAGTACCCCACTATAGCCTAGACCATAGTCATAACATTTGACAACAACCGCCAGGGAGTTCCTCATGGATCCCATCCAAACTTCAACTATACTGTACATGGAATTTCTTAATAGCATAACAACAGCCGAGTCAGCTGCGGTGCTCGCTTCCAGTGAGCATCACATGAGGCGGCCCACATAGTGGGTGCCCTTGCATGAGCTGGTGAGGTGCGGCCACTGCACGAAGAACCGGTCTACGATGCCCAGGCGGTGCAGCAGGCGGCCTGTGAGCGACAGGTGGTCCACTCGTGCTACACTCTCCACAAACACGATGCTGCTGCTCTGCACTCCCAGCACCTGCATGAACACGATGGTGAAGGGTTGTCGGATCAGGTAATGATGAGTCACACAAACCACATGTGAGTGCCTACAGGTGCTGCACTGCAACGCGCGCCACACTCTCCACGAACACGATGCTGCTGCTCTGCACTCCCAGCACCTGCCACCACGATGGTAAGGGGTTGCGGAATTGGGTTCTGATGAGTCGCATGAGCCGCACCCCCTTGCTCTGTTTTCCTGTGTTCTGGGACTGGCTGTGCAGGGAACGCAAAGGGAAGGAGACAGGTGTCAGATTGGAGTCAGGGAAGGTGTGAGAAGTGGGGAAGAGCAGGGGACATCCGATGTATGGTGATGAAGATGGTGGCTGTGGGTGCAGAAAGGGAGGAGGCACCAAAGTCGATGTAGTCCCATGCACCTCCCATGCACCTCCCATGCACCTCCCATGCACCTCCCATGCACCTCCCATGCACCTCCCATGCACCTCCCATGCACCTCCCATGCACCTCCCATGCACCTCCCATGCACCTCCCATGCACCTCCCATGCACCTCACATGCACCTCACATGCACCTCACATGCCCCTCACATGCCCCTCACATGCCCCTCACATGCCCCTCACATGCACCTCACATGCAGTGTGAAAACGGCGATGCAGATTGGCAGGCAGGTGCCCGGCCCGTTGCAGAGCAGCTGCATATGCATGGAGCGAGACGGATGGACAAGGACGGGCACGGATGGGCAAGAATGATGAGCTGTGATGAGAGAAGAGCGCAGGAATGCTATGATGAATGCTATGCCATGGAATGGCATGCCACTGAGTGGCAGGTCCACGAGAAATCAGACTGTAACAGAAACGAAGCCACAGCAGCACAAGAGACAAGAGGAAAGCGGCATGGATGGACGCACCAGTTGGGGTCTGACACGCGCCACAAGCAGCATGGCGTGCAGCGTGGCGGCGATGGTGGTGAGCACTGAGGTGAGGTATGACTGCCCCACCTCTCGACTCCGATACACCGATAGGTACGAGGGGGGCGGGACAGGCAAGGCGGGAGCAGGCGCTTCCTGCTATGCATGGGATGTGCGAGCAGGAGTGGGGAAAACGCAGGATGAGCATGGAGGTGACGTATAAGTGCTCCACCTCTCGACTGCAATACCCCGATAGGTACGAAGGGGGGGGGGCGGCCGAGGCAGGGGCGAGGGGGGAAGTGGTTGCTTTCTGGAATGGGGGGGGATGGGAGTGGGGACGGTGTAAGCGCAGAATGAGGATAAGCGCAGGATGAGGATAAGCGCAAAAAGAGGATAAGCGCAAGATGAGTGGTGGGTCTCACCTGTGCGAGGGCTTGCTCTAGCTGGCGTGCCTTGGGCAGGCTGATGGCGTCGGTGGCAGCAGCGATGTAGCAGCGCGGGCTGTAGCGCCCGTGGTCCAGCGCACCCACCAGACACAGCATCTCCGCCGTGTGGCCCCCTGGGAGAGGGGGAGACAAGGAGGGGGCATGGGGGGGGAGGGAATGAGTGTGGAAGGAGCAGGGAGGGTGAACACGTATGTGTGTGGTCCAGGGCGCTCACAAGACACAGCATCTCCGCTGTGTGGGCCGCTGGGGGAGGGGGGGGAGGGGAGGGGGAAGAGAGGCGCGAATTGGCAGGCTGATGGGAGCAGATGTAGCAGCGCGGGCTGTAGCGCCCACTGTCCAGGGCGCTCACCAGACACAGCATCTCCGCCGTGTGGCCGCCTGAGGGGGCGGAGGAAAGGCAGGGGCGCGGGGCGGAAGGGAGTAATTGTGGAAGGAGCAGGGAGGGTGAACACGTATGTGTGTGGTCCAGGGCGCCCACCACACACAGCATCTCCGCCGTGTGGCCCCCTGAGAGGACGGGGAAAGGGAGGGGCGTATGTGGAGGGTAGCGGCGCAGGCGGAGGAAGCATGCAGGGGGGAGGAAGGTGCAGGAGGTAGGGGGTGCGCAGCAGCAAGGCGAGCATGAGTGAGTGTGGGGGAAGCAGGGGGGGTGAAACTTGTATGGCGTGCGAAAAGGGGTTGCCTGTGTGTGGGGAGAAAGAAAGGGCACAGGGTGCGGCGCAGCAAGGATTGTGTGGAGCAACGGTGCTGCGCGGCTGCATGAAACACGAGCTGCTGAAGCGGCAGTGAGGTTGGAAAACGAGCGTGAGGGCGGAAGGTGATGTGGGGGGGGAGGAAAAGATGCATGTGTCGTGGAGAACGGGGGAGGGGAGCAAGGGGGAGTGCGAATGTGAGCACATGAGCCCAGCACGATAAGAACCTGAGCCAAGCACGATAAGCACCTGAGCCCAGCACGATAAGCACCTGAGCCCAGCACGATAAGAACCTGAGCCCAGCACGATAAGCACCTGAGCCCAGCACGATAAGCACCTGAGCCCAGCACGATAAGAACCTGAGCCAAGCACGATAAGCACCTGAGCCCAGCACGATAAGCACCTGAGCCCAGCACGATAAGCACCTGAGCCCAGCACGATAAGCACCTGAGCCCAGCACGATAAGCACCTGAGCCCAGCACGATAAGCACCTGAGCGCAGCACGATGAGCACCTGAGCCCAGCACGATGAGCGTGGAAAGGTGGTCGCCAGGAGGCCTCTTGCGGTGCGGCCGCGCCACGGCGTGCAGCACGAGCAGCACGCGCAGCAGCAGCAGAGCCACGACGGCCGTGAGGGCGAGGGAGAGCGGCGAGGCGGGCAAGGGGAGGTGTGAGAGCAGCTCAGCCGCCATGCCTGCTGCTTCTGCGTGCTGCGCACTGCCTGGTGCTGGGATTATGATTATGTCTGCCTGGTGGCGGGCAGAGCGATGCTCAGAGGCGGAAAGGTGCGCGGGGCTGAGGGCGCGCGGCGCTGAGCATCCCAAAAATGATGGGAAGCTAAACCTACCACAAAGCTAATTCCTAGTTACTTTGTGGTAGGTGTCCAGAGATCAATTTCAGTTACTAGCGAACATACTAGAATCATGCGATGTGAGGGTTGGGGCCGTCCGAAAATAAACATTCTGCAAAGTTACTTACGGGTGGGAACGAATGTGTGATCGGCGAAATGACTGATACTTCGGGATGCACAAGCGAACCGGTAACACCGCGTGTGCGAATTGCATGGTCAGCTGCGATTTGTTCCTCAATTTGAGAAAGGGTCATTGCGAAGGTGTTGATTGGTCAAAACCAATACAGAGTGATTGCAGCGCCGAATTGGAACACTACGCGCGTCACTGTGTCAGTCGACCCTGAACTGTTTTAAAAATGACTCGTTACCTGAATACAAATGTATACAGTAAAATCCAGATGAGCTCTAAAGCATAATCATGATGCACCACTTCGAAAAACGTTGTTACATGATATGGTAACCAGGTAACATTAAGGTAACAAGTTCACGGTAATTAATAATAAAATCAGTACAATTAATTTTATTTTGCTCGTTAAAGCTGCACGTTTCTTCATGCCAGCTGGATTAACACTTCTTAACGCTTATCAACGATATTCATCAACTGGTTCTCCAGGGTCTCTGGTGGGCTATTACAGCCGAATTACGATAGTCAGTAAAAGTTAAAATCAGCATTACACGGTAAAATACATTCAAATCCTACCTAACCAGCAAGCTAAACTAATCTAAAGTTTAGGCGATAGCGGTATCAAGAACGCTGCAACGACAACGCTGCACAACAATAGAGATAAGAGAGCACGCAAGTTCAGTAGCAACAAGATTGACGAAACAAGCCACAGGGAAAAAATCACCCTGTGAGTCGGTACATACCAGTGACGGAAAGCGGCTGCCGACAGTCAGCCCAAGGAAGACTTGCACCTTGCGTTCTGTTCTTGTAAGTAGCCAAGCAAGAACCGTAGTATAACTGCCGAAAAAAAACACACACAGACAAACATAACCACAACACTGCGGGATTAGGTAGTGAATCGGTACCTACCGGAACCTGTACCTACCAGAAGAAAAGCAAGCGGCTGCCGCCGGTCAACACATGGACGACGTCCGATCGTGTTTTGTCCTTCAGTAGCAGTAGAATTAACTGCAAGAAATAATAACAGACAGAAAACAGAAACGGAAACACAACACTACGGGATTATGTAATGTTAGGTGTTAGAACGTAAGGGAAGGAAACCGACAACTTGACATCCGCAGGGAATCACATATACGTAATGGAAGAAAACGGCAGCTAAGGCAGAGACTACTAAGCGCAAACTAGATGAAGCAGCAGACGAAACTGAGCGGCAGGAAACCGTGAAGCTAGAAAAGAAATAAACTATTAGGTGGTGGGTTGATGCTGATACATAAACGCGAGCGTCTGGAATGGGGTGGGGTTGAGCAGCAAGGAAAGAGGACGGGGAAAGGGAAGGATGGGTGGATTCGAGCAGCAAGGAAAGAGGACGGGGAAAGGGAAGGATGACGAGAAACGATGGGGGCGGGCCAGGGTAAAAACAAATAACAACCGAAAATACAGTAACTCCGGGAAGATTGGTTGCACATTCGTAATGTAATTACGAAACACTGTGCGAATGAAACTGAACGGTCAGAAAAGCAAAACTAACTGGAGTTATCCTAAAACTGCTCACAACCACACATGCCAGCGAATATCCCGCTGGAGGTGTCGATGGTGTGCGTGTGAAAATGAACGAGGAATGAAAAGACTAAGGGAAAGTTGGGTACAAGTACAAACCTTAGAAAGCTGTACCCCATATGTGCTACCCCACTATAGCCTACAGCAGCTAAGTCATATAAATCTGACACACCCCCATAGGCAAAGTGGGGGAGGACAAGGGGTCACAAGACCAGTCAAGCAAAGCAAAGCAAGCTCAGGGTGGATCACAACGTCACCACACATTCCGAGCACAAGTTCAAGGCCACAAGGCCAAGGGGTAAGCAAGTGAGGCAAGGTAGGCACAAGACCTGTCAGAATGTCATTGTTCTCTAGCCTGCAGTGGGGTACTCTATAGCGAGTACAACCCCTTAGGGTTTCCTATATGTATCCTGCTGCTTTCTAGTGAACCCCCTCTTCTTCTTTTGCCTAAACTTCTCTTGCCTAGCTAGGACTTACCTAGCTATGGCTCCTAACTCTATCTACTATTTTAACATGCTATCAGAGCAGGTCGATCCCCTTGGGTCGATCCTGTGGGTGGGCTCACCACCTCACTGCTTCCGCTGCTACTGCTACTCTCTGTGTCGCACGCCCCGTGGCGTGCGACGGATTTTTCATCCCGCCGCGCGCTCGGAGCGTGCGGCGGTTTTCTGCCCGCCGTGCGCCCCGAGGCGCGCGGCGGTTTTCTGCCCGCCGTGCGCCCCGAGGCGCGCGGCGGTTGTCTGCCCGCCGTGCGCCCCGAGGCGCGCGGCGGGTTTCTGCCCCGTCACTCCGCGCGTCGCTCCCGGGAGGCGCTGCGACGGGCGATGGGGACCCGCGCGTCGCCCCCCGTCGCCCGTCGTGGCCTGCGCGCGGCTCGTACAGCCTGTGCGCGGCCCGTACGGGCCGCGCCAGGCCCGCGCGCGGCCCGTACGGGCTGCGCCAGGCCCGCGCGCGGCTCGGGCCGCCTGCGCGCGGTTCGGGCGGCTGTGCCAGGCCCGTGGGCGGCCCGTTCTTCGCTGCCCCTGCGCTGCCCGCTGTCCCCCGTGCTTCTGATGGCGCCCCACCTCTGCTGCTGCCCGTTCTCCTGAATTAGGGTTTGGGGGTGGGGGGTCTGGGGGTGCAGCTTCTGTGTGCCGTCCCCTGCTCCTCCTCCTCCTCCTCCGTCTCCCAGTGCTGCAGCTGCCGCTGAGGGGGGTGGACCTGTTGGAGCCGTCGGAGTGGTACTAAGGGGGGTGAAGGGGGAGTGGAGCTAGGGGTGAAGCAAGGGGTGTGTGTCAGGGGGAGTGGGACTGTTTGGGGAGGTTGAACTGAGGTTGCCGTCGTGTCGCCAGCAGCACCTGTAGTCCGGGGAGTTGCTCCGGTAGCCCAGTCGCAGCCAGCTGTGCCAGTCGCCCGTGGGTCCGTTGCTCGTCTGCCGCTACTTTTAGCCGCGGAGCCAGTTACTCCAGTAGTCCGGAGCGTTGTTCCGGTAGCCGCTGTGCCAGTGTGACTCCTGTTGCCCTGAGTACAGAAGCGCTGATGATCACAAGGCGCAAGTGCCTTGGTGAAGATATCAGCAGTGTTGGCCTGAGAGGCCACGTACGCAAGGCGTAGCTGACCACGCTGCTGTAGCTCACGAGCAAGGAAGTAGCGAAGAGCAATGTGCTTCGTTCTGTGCTCCAGTCTCTGCTCCCGACACAAGGCCAGCATGGCCTTGTTGTCTACGTACAGCACTGGAGGAGAACGAGGCGGCTCTCCGAGGTCAGTCAGCAGGTAGGTGAGCAAGCGAAGCTCCTGTGCAGCCATGGCCCCTGCGTAGATCTCAGCCTCACAACTGGAGCCGAGAACAGAAGACGAGCGGGTAGCCCGCCACGAGACAGAGCCGGAACCAAGGCTGAAGGTGTAACCCTGTGACGACCGCTGCGTAGCCTGGTCGTCAGCCCAAGAAGCGTCTGCGTGCCCAGTGAGGACCACTGGACTCTGCCCTCCAAGCACAAGCCCCATGCCCGACGTACTGCACAAGTAGCGCAACACCCTCTTCGCTGCAGCCATGTGCTCCGGTCTGTGTCTCCCAGGAGCAACATAGCGTGCGAGAATGCTAAGAGGGTATGCAAGGTCAGGTCGAGTGCAGGTCATCAGGTACATGAGGCAGCCAACAAGCTCTGGGTACGGGCCACTCGACTCTACGGACTCATCCGAAGGCAGAGCTGAGAGCGAGTGGCGAGTAGGCAGAGGAGTGGCCTGAGGCGAGGAGTACGTGAAGCCGAAGCGCTGAAGGACCTGCTGCACCATGTGTGACTGAGTCAGGGTAATGGTGCGGCGTGCTCTGTCCCGGGTGATCTGCAAGCCAAGGTAGCTGCGCAGTTCACCCAGGTCTGTGCACGTGTGTCTCTTCTGCAGCTCGGACTTCACGTGGGCGAGTCCAGCAGTGTCAGCTGTGGCAAAGACCAAGTCGTCGACGTACACGAGGATGTAGAACGGCGGCAAAGAAGTGTCGGTGCGCAGAAACAGCGACGGGTCGGCAGTAGAGGGAGCAAACCCAAGAGCCGCAGGCGTAGTCCTCAGTGTGTCGTGCCACTCACGCGGTGCCTGGCGGAGACCGTAGACTGGCCGCCGGAGGCTCCACTGGGTGCCAGGAGGAAAAAGTCCCAGTGGAAGCCAAGTGGGCGGCGCAGCCAGATCTCCTCGTGCAGGCTGCCCTGCAAGAAAGCAGTGCTGAAGTCAAGAGAGTGTAGCTCGTAGTCACGGTGAGCAGCTATGTGCAGCAGTACCCGAAGAGTGGTCATCTTCGGGGTGGGAGAGAAGGTCTGAAAGTAGTCAACTCCCTGCCGCTGACTGAAGCCACGAGCCACGTAACGCGCCTTGAAGACAGGCGGAGAACCCGGCGGCCGCTTCACCCTGAAAATCCACATGCCACTGACGATGTTCGCCCCAGGTGGGGGAACCTCGTCAACGTAGGTGCCTGTGGACTTCCAGGAAGCCATCTCTGCGTCCATAGCTGCCTGCCACTGAGAGGAGTAGGGACCCTCTATCGCCTCCGCGTAAGAGCGCGGAGTCGGGATGTCAAGTGCATCCGGGTCTCCCTCAGGGGTAAGCAGTACGGACACGAGATGAGGTGAAGCAGCAGCCAAACACTGGAACTCCTCCTGTCTGTCCTCAAGGACGTCCGTGCCGAGGTCACACTCACCCCCAACGGACGGGAGGACAGACAGACTCAGACGCAGCAACAAGACTCGCAGCGTAAGTCTAGACGACAGCGAGCAGCAAAGTCGACGAGCTCAGCAACTAGGGCAGACGCAGCAGTGGACTCAAAGGAAGGTCAGTGACAACAGTAGTAAGGAGACGCGTGACAGTCGGGCTTGGCAGCACGAAGGGAGTCCGACTCCGGGTCAGCAAGAGCAGGAAAGAGAGGACTCGGGAGGAGAAGGCAAAGGGGCACGCAGAGGAGCAG